AAAAAAATGTGAGATAATGAAAAGATGGAAATAAAGTGTTTGTAGATGGGGAGGGGAGGAGGGGGTGAAGGGAGGGCAGGGACAAGGGGAAAAAATGAGAACCAAGACTTGTCATGTATAGGTACAAGATCCCAACAATGAATGTAACTGTACTGTGTCCCTAAAATGTACCAATAAACTCAAAGCTGAAAAAAAAAAGAAGCAAAATCCAACAATATGTTTTATTCAAGAAACACACCTAGTTCAAAAAGAAACTCAGACTGAAAGCGAAAGGATGGAAAACAGTTCATGTGAAAGGAGCCCAGAGAAAAGCAGGGGTAACTATCTTATTCACAGACAAAGTAAATTTCAAACCAAAACTGATTAAGAGGAAACAATCCAAGAGGAAGAGATGACAGTCATAAATATATACACCAAATATTAATAGCCCCAAATATATAAAACAAATATTAAGGGACATAAAAAACCAAAGAAGCACTAATACAATTGTAGTGGGGGACCTAAATGCCCCACTATCACAAATAGATCACCTAGATAAAATAATCAGCAGTGAAATACTAGAACTGACCCAAGCTTTTGAACAAATGGACTTAAGAGACATCTACAGAGTGTTCCACTCCACAAAATCAGAATATACATTCTTTTTTGGCCGCACACAGGGTCACTCTCCAAAATAGACCACATACTAACTAGCTCATAGAACATGTTTAAATAAATGCAAAGGAATTGAAGTTATCCCATGTATATTATCAGACCATAGTGCAATTAAGTTGGAGATCAATAGCATGAGAAGAATGGCAAAGTCATATGGCAAAGAAAATGTAAGAGGATGGCCAGGCGTGGTGGCGCACACCTGTAATCCCAGCACTCGGGAGGCTGAGGCAGGAGGATCGCTGTGAGTTTGAGACCAGCCTGGGCTACATTGTGAGCTCCAGGTCAGTCTCAACTACATAGTGAGACCCTACCTCAAGAATTAAAAAAAAAAAAAAAAAAAAAAAGAAAATGTAAGAGGAGAGGAATCTGTAGCCATTTTTATAATCTACTTTATTTTTTTTTACAATCTACTTTAATTCATAACCTGAATTTCACTACCTAAAGGATATTTATAATAATAGTATACATTTAGCACATATGGTATCTAGTGTTTATGTATACAGATATGTAAGATATACTATAATATATATTGTACGATACAAAAATATGATACACATATAAGTATGTGTTCAATATATATTTGTATAGAGACACCATTTATATATAGGAGTGCTGTGTGATGAAATTAACCTCTACCTGTATATTTCACTGATTTATACCAGTTCACAGCTAAAACTGCTTCATGTTCAGTGGATTTGTACGAAGTGCAAGACTCCTCTCAGTTGAGTGAATAAAGAAGCTCTGTGAACTTGTCATGCTTGCATTTCTCTCTCAGCATGAAAATTCTGTCTCTATTTTGCCTTACTTCTTAAAGCAGGTAATGTTCCCAGAGAGATCTGGGCAATTAGAATGTTTGTAGACCAGAGCGTGTTTTAAAAACACTAGGGAGGGCTGGGGATTTAGCTCAGTGGTTCTGCCACCTGCCTCGAAAGCACAGGGTCCCGAGTTCGACCTCCAGTACCAAAACAAACAAAAACCCTAAGGAAATCAAATTACTTAAAGTTGCTCCTGATAGAAGAATTTGGAAAAGCAAATAATCACTCCTTAATTTGCTCGATATATCAACTCAGATTTTGTACCTAAGTGTTGATATTAGTGAAAACGAGGCTCACTTGTCTGCTTTTATGACAGTGACAGGGTTGGCAACGGTGTGTGGCAAAGTGGCCTGATGCTAGGGGAGAGGAGAGGGTGGTGAGGAAGATGGAGCAGGTAGGAGCCCCAACCAAAGGCTCTGCCATCTGCCGGTGGTCCTCCCACCTGACCCCAGGGCGTGCAAGTCATGGGGGAAATCACTGCAGAAAGCAGTAGAACACAGACGTGAGAAAGGAGGGGAAAGCAGGTGAAGTGTAGTGAGAGATGCCCTGTAGGCCAGACACCCTCCATAGTGTCAGGAGGGGCGACCAGGGACTCCTCCCCCAGGCCTTATTTGGGCGGCATT